TGAAAAATAGAAAAAGTCAAATTAGATTTAATTCTTGTAAATGTCAAGTAATAATCTCATGGATTTATTGCAGTAGCTGCAGTTTAAATGTACTGTACGTTTCCCACTGACCAGGCCTTTATCCCCCTGTGTGCTTTTTAATTGTGTATATCCTGTGGTGTAATTATGTCCTACAGTATATGCAGCAAGCAAAGGCATACAGTACTAAACCTTACAGTGGCTAACAGTAAATTTAAATTCCCATGCATCTGCTCACTTCTCACTACTCCTGAACTAATTACATCCTGAGTGTCCCAAACAAATTTGACTGTTTTGCTAATGACACCTTGAATTATGTTATCAACCATATACAGTACATGATACAGTTCATGATACAGTAAGAAAGTGAAACCAGGGATTTTGAGAATTTCCAATGTATCTAACCAGGATTTTCACAAACAAACTGGAATATTTAGGATTAATATGGATTTTGTTAAATCTATGGTTAAAAACATAGAGATTTTATTATATTCTTGGTTTCACAGTCGTGATTTAACAAGTTAAATCCATCTATAGGGTGTGACATTATGTCCCACAGTCTTTAGTTTAAGAATGGGTTTCTCATTAGAAACCTCAAAGGCTAAAAAATCAAGTACACAATGTCATGCTGTAATTATCAGAGTTTTCTATTTTTTCTTAAGAAAATAAATTCTCTCAAGCATGGTCTCTTCTACAGAACTCTTGTTGACTTTCCCCAGTACTATTGTAACAGAGCCTGCTGCTTTATGGAGTTCTGAGGACATCCAATACATAAGACACAGCTCTAAGTAAAATAAAGGCATGTGTGCCATCTTTATTGACACCAGAGATAACCTAACATGGAGAAAGCACTGCAGAGTACAACCAGACTGTCACATCAACAGAACTCCCAGATGGAGGGAACCAGCCCCTTACCATCTCCCCTCAATATGGTGACTCCACAAACCTGGGGGAAGACACCCTCGTCAGCACACTGGGGACTGGGGGGGTCCCTTCACCACACTCTCCAAGCTCCCTACAGATGCTGGTGGAGCACTGCATGGCTACAGTTACAGGCTTGTGTGCTGACCGCACGCCACATCAGCCTCAGTCCCCTGCACCCACACCGTCACATACATGGACCCTGGCACAGGAAACAGAGCTGCAATGTTTCTGTATGATTCACCCCCGAAGTGTTGTTCTCATCACATCTTGGAAATCTTCGGAGCGTTTCGTGTTGTTTGTGCCATTTTCCACTGACAGGACCCAAAAACACCACATGTGCTGACTTACAAAAATGCGTCATCCCCTTATCGTGCCTCTTATTTTTTTCATGGAGGGCCAATGGGTGCATTTAGCAAATGGTTAAATAAAACACAGTATAAGATAAGAGAAACTCCTATCATTTGTTCATAACATATAAACACTCTGGTTGGGTCAGAATAGAGAATGGCTTTCTTCCATACAGTTATGCAAGACGTGACATGAAATGCATTGAATCAGTGTAATGTGTGCATCTCTGCCTGCCCCTGGCAGGATTCAATCTCAGCCACTTCCAGGCTCTGAGCACCTCTCCTTAGACAGGAGTCTGAAAGAACATGCTGAGAGGTCAGTAATCAGATGTAGTTTATGCTTCTGCTTGCAACCTGCAACTTTTAGGAATCTAAATCAATGAAAATATCTCTTCAAGTTAATGTGCAATAACTGGTCAATAAAACAACCTAAGACAGAAGTCAAATATGCACACATTGAGATCGCAAAGAGAAGTGTTAGGAAGCTTCATTATTGGAGCTTGGTGTTGCTCAACACAAAATAAATGATATTACGGATCACTATTATTAGAATAGAAATTACAATGATTTAAGATTTTTTTATTTCAATGTTTGCTAGCTCTGTTTTGAATCAATATATAAAAAAGAAGATAATGACTTCACACATATTTATATTACATATTATACTAAACTCTGATGAAGATGCAAAGAGCATGGCAAAAGTAAGAATCCAGCAGCTACAGTATATCACCCTCCAACTCACAACTGGCAACCCACTGAAGCTCAGCAACTGTGAACCTGACCAGTACCTGGATGGGAGATGTTCTGGGAAAAGCGAAGGTTGCTGCTGGAAGAGGTGTTAGAGAGACCACTATGGAGCGCTCACCCTGCAATCTGTGTGGATCATAATGCCTCAGCATGATGGGGACACTATACTGTAAAGAAAAGTGCTGTCCTTCTGATGAGACATAAAACCAAGCACCTAGTTCCCTGTGGTCATTAAAAATCCCAGGGCGTTTCTCAAAGAGTAGTGGTGTTAACTCCGGTGTCCTGGCCAAATTTCGTCCTGGTCCCTACCAATCACGGCCTCCTAATTTTCCCCATCTTTGAATTGGCTTCATTACTTTGTTCTCCTCCCTACTGATAGCTGGTGTGTGGTGAGCTTACTGGTGCACTGCCATTGTTTCATCCAGATTGGAGCTACACAGTGGTGGAGAGTAGTCCCCGTTACCTGTAAAGCTCTTTATGTGATGTGTTCAGTAAAGGACTATATGGTATATGTCTAAAGGATTATTAATTTAATTTTTTTGATGAATGGATTTTTAAAACAACAGACACGTCTAAGAATCAAGATAAAGTTTATAACACCTGGAAATGTAAGCATTCCAAGCTTCAAAGCAGAGGGAGCTTTAGAGAGTCTGTGATCAAAGCAATCATTATGTCTACCTTAATTAAGTTCTGGCTAAATGATCAGTCCAGAAAGACACCATATAAGATCTTGTATGTAAACTTGTAAATAGAGTAGCTTGTGTGTTGTATGTGTATGTTGTATGCAGTGTAGTGCTTGTATTATAATTGTTAATAAATATATGTTTAAGCTAGTGTGGCTAAATTATTACACTTTTCACTAAAGTTACAGTGTATCAGAGAATAAAGAATTCAAATGCCTCTAATTATACCAACCACGAGGGCAGAAATAATTTATTTTACTTATTAACTAATCTGCTTGTTCAATTCCTTTTTCTCCATTTTAATGACCCACCATTAGTAACAACATTTTTTTAACACCTGCAGAATACTAGTAATGGTGTAATTTGTATTTGTTTTTGAAGTAGCAAATTCTCGTAAAACAAATCTCAGATGTGTAAAAAGCAGATCGTAATCCATCTAATCCAAAGGAATGGGCATAAGGGAAAATCTAATTGACTGCTTTTGGGGGGCGAGGGTTGTAGAGGCAGTTAGTGGTCAAATGTACCCTAGAAGTGAAGGAATTAAAAGACCCGATAATCAATCTTTAAAAATGTCTTTAATTGGATGCTCTTTAAGAAGAAATTAGAAGTGACAAAAACAATGATTACCTTTGCATAGATCTTAGTCTATGCATTCAACAACATATAACAAACTCATTTAAATTGCAGTTTCCTGAATGTAGAAAAAACAACATAAGATAAAAGGTACAAATATTTAACATCCTCCCAGAAAGTGCAATAACTTACAAAGTCTCTCATGAATACACCAGGTACAGATTTCCTGAAGTTGAAGTGCTCTAGGCTCCCTGGCAACACACTGTGAATTATTTGTTTGAATTGCCTGGAATTGCTATTTTAGAAAGGATTTGGTTTTTTAAATGGATTTATATGGACCCAGGACAATCATATCGCCATCAGTTCAAAAAAATCTCTGACTGTACCATGTTTGTGGAAAATTGATGGAGTCTTGCTTTTGGGGTTTGAAAAGATCAGCAAGGTTATAAAATAATGGAAATATTCGAGATATTTTTTTAGCTATCATAATAAAGTGAATTACAGTAAGGAGAAACTGTAACTGTTTTGACAGTTGACAGCTGTCATCTGTCCTTGGTTTTGGATAGAAAATCGCATGCAGTGTTATTTCAGCCATGCAGTTCTATAATGTGCAGGATGCTATTAAGATTTGAATAAAAAAGTAGTGGTTATGAGCAGTTGTTTTATGTAATAAGAATATACAATGAAAATTAAAATTTGCAGTTTAAATGTTTTGAGATGTAACCTTTTCTTCAGCTGTAACTTAAGGGACAAAAAGAAGCAGACAGGCTTGAGAGAGGTTTTACAGCAATTAGATTATGAACATACACATATAAATTAAACCTCTGTCTGCTTTTTTACCTGACATTAAAAATGCACAGGGTCTGTGTTGGGCATAGCTTTAAAATTACAATACAGAACAGAAGCTTTTGGTGTTTCTGCTGATCACAATTTTTCAACTGTACAGTATATATCACCAACTTTTAAACAATTCAGTGACCAAATGCCATCAATTAAATTACAGAAATATGGAAATGTAACATTTTCACTTTGCAACATCCTCTTTCTTCAAAACCCAGAATATACAAGTTAGACACAATCATTACTGTGATATTTAAAAGCTTTTAACACATTCAATGTAAAGGGATATGCTGGATTTCAATTTCAGCTGAGCAAGCATATATTTTCTTAGAGGTGTATTTAAAACACAACAAATGTTACTGGCTTCAATACTCATTTGTTGCATTTTAAAGCCTCTCAGTCTCTCAGTACACAGTATCTTATTTTTACTCTAATACAATGGTTTTGAGTTACTTATTATGTAACATTTTTCACATTTGTTTCTAATAATCAAAAATAAAAATGTAACTAACATATAAAAATATTGTTCTATATCATTTTCTATTTTGTTGTTTCCATTTTTTACTAATTGGAATATTAGAATTTTAAATTTTTAAAAACATTAGAGATTCTGTGCTTTATTATATCCTAACTCATATACACTGTCAAGATAATCCTTTCATATATTTACAATTAAAGTCATTATGAATTATCTAAATCAACATTTTAACTCATTTTACAGGTTTTATGGTTGTACCTTACATATGTAGCAATTATGGTAAAATAAAACTATTAACCCAGACTGTATTTTCTTTTATAAAATAAAAATCTGTTCAGTATCCGTCTTTTTAAAAAATGTTAATACCTTCTTTCACAACCAGAAATAATTTAATGAATTAACATCAGAATAAACATTATTGTAATAAAATATTGGGATATACTACTGTACTGTATATCACAGATATGTATATATCTCTATGTAAAAATTCTCTATAACCCTGTGAATTAAATGGCATAATGCTCTGATAATCATAATGATATTATAACTTTATAGTTGCATGACTTTAAAGGTATTCTTAGGGGGAATGGGTCCTCTTGAGCAGAATATATGGTCAATTATATTGAGGTGAATTACTCTGTAAACTTTCAAAACATTTCTGGGCTGACTAAAAGGGACATCTGTGTACAAATGTTACATTTTAGTATATTTTGTGGAAAATAGTACAAATGTCAAATACTTTTTAGAATGCTTGCCCATCAAATCTACTGCATTGAAGGCTCTCCTAAATACACGGCTTCTTTTAAAGTTGAAATAGTTTGGTGATGGACCCATATCAACAGGTAAACCCATACAAAGACAAAAGTGGTGTATGTAACTGCAAAGGAAAACACCTGATAGCTCCAACTTCTGGAAGATATTGGTAGCAGTGCGTTATTAATGGGCAATTGATTGAATATTTTACAAAACATTGATATTAAAATTTAAAAAGGGTTGTAATTCAAGTGCAATATTTTACTTACAATATTATTTTGTTGTATTTTATTTCTTTTAAGTGTGGGTAAATTTGCAATGTCTTTGGGTTTGTTAATTGGATTTTGGATTGTTCATAGTATACATTTCATTTTAAGCTTTTGATTAAATGAACAACTAAATGGTTTCATAATATAACTTTTAGTTATTAAGAAATGGAAATCTACTACTGTACATAATTTTAAGATGCATATCTTACTCTAAACCTTAACTTCATTATGAATTAAAACACTTTATGGGGTAAATAGTGCTTCTATTATTAATACAGTATATCAGGTGTACATTTAAGTCCCTGCAACATTTGAACCTCTGTAGTGCAATTGTTCAGCGCTTTTGCCACCACTGCTTCACCAAGGACACATGCCTGTTGTGCACAAGAATCAGATTATTTCATGACCAATGTCTCATTTTCTCCTGTGCCAAAAATGTATGAAAAAGTTACAGCTTCATCTTCTACGGATTTCCTTATCCATATCCACATCCACACCAAACACAATGCATTCTTATTTAGATGCAGCCAGCTCTAACCTATCCTGAGGTGCAATTAAATACTTAATCCAACGAGAGTTTGTGAGAGATTATTATGGCTCTCACAGCTTTGGACAGGTCTTTTTAAAACTATTGGATCAAGCGCGGAAATCAAATAAAAATTAGGCTTTTTCCAATATTCAGTTTTTTCCAATATGTGGACAACTAGGCCATAGGTTTATTGAAGATTTTTCAGTGAAACTGGCCTTATTGTCCTCTTTTATCCAGTAGTTTCAAGCATTCGAAAGGTTTGTGATTTTCTTTTGCTTTTTCTCTTCACATCCATACTCATCATCACTTAGCAGACGTGAAATCACAAGTCAGGTTACCCTCCATCACTCACAGCTCTTCACTGTGCTCCGTCAGGAGACGTTAATAATTGTTGGATAAGTGCTTACTAAATTAAATATTCTGGGTAAACCATAGGTTCAATTGCAGTTGGCCATCAAAGGAAACATAAGTGATTAAAATCACAGATGAACCCAGTTTCTACATTTTACCAAGCGGAATCACATGCACTGCACTGTCATTCATAACCACATTGAGGTAGACAACAGAAAGGCTTAAAATGGTATGATGCAAATCAAAAGGGTGGATGCTGGTAAGCACATGAGCATTTACTGTATGTTTGTTTTAATTAGGCCTATTTACAAGGAGTCAGTAAAACGGTGCATGACAGTCACCGCAACATGCTAAGTAATTAAAATCTAACTGGATTCCTCAGTCAGCCATTCAAATGATCCTGAATCCAGCCCTTGGCTTCTCTCCGGTTCTGTGTTGTGTGTAGACATCCTGTGTCCTGTCTGTCTCGTGCTTGACACGTCTGAGACGACACATTCATCAATTCTGGCCTTTGTTCTCAGAACTGTTGAGTGGATGTACTGTTTTATTTCTGTCATTCTCTTTAGGATATAGATGGATCTATAGTGCATTATACAGTAGTTAAAGAAGAAACTGAGACAGGACTGCTTTGCTTTTTTTCCCTATTGTACATGGAGGCACTTTCAATGATCCACTGTGTAAGAGGGTTAAAGGCACTAGCAACTAACTCAAGTAATGTTGCCATTTTCTTTTCTGCAAAGTGTATTGGGGAACAAAAATTCAAATATTGAACTAATGAATACTGTAAAATCAATTGCAATATGGATGCATCATTTACATAATACAGTATATCTAATTTTTGCATTCTGAGAATGTCCATGCACGACACCACTGAAGTAATATTGAATGTAGTTTACCAAGTAGTGCCAATTATGAGTATAAGTGTTTTGATTTGTTCTTCTCTCATTAAAAAAGTCTGCAGTCCCAGGAAAGTCTGGGATATGTTCAGCCACAGTTCAGACAAAGTGAGGACATGAACCCACTCATTTCCCTGACAATAACCAGGAAAATCATCCGGTCCTTCGGAAGTTCCTCTATTACAACAAGCTGTTTAATACTGACGTCATGCATTAAATATACTAGGATACATAGTACCTTAGTCAAATTGTCCATAATGCTGAGTATTTTAACATGCTATGATCTCCAAAAGTTACTGTTCCCATAAGGTTTAACATTCAGCACTTAAATTCTTTAAATTATTTATAATTTAAATAATCAATAACCAGTGCACTTTTGGTGAAAGCAAATGAGGAAAAAAAAAACTCAGAAGGTCGGGATCAAACTAAAACCTATTTCCCATTATATGAGGTAATGTTTCACGCATGCCAATATTAAACGAAGAGTATCAGAACATGCTTACATTTCATTTTTTTTCCATTGTGCTGTCTTGCATCTAAAGGGCATGTCATTGTACCCATTTTGTAAGATTTGAGTTACAGCATCTGCAGGAAAATAGCAGCATTGCAGATGTCCGGGAGACTTCTTATACTATAAATTCGCAGCAACAGACCAGTCTTTTTTTTCGGATAAGGTGCTTTGCTGGTCGGTATGTCTCAAGTAATGACATCACCTATCACAAGGGAATAAGTAGATCGATAACTGCAGATGCTTGCATGTTTCAGCAGAACTGAGAATTCTGATGCACTTTCCTGGATGCACTGTGCAACTTGCTGAAATTTACTGTAATCCATGCATAACTTACTTTAAAATGATCACGTTGTTTGTTTTGACGAGCAAATAATGGAAGTCCTTGTTAAGGGTTGTACAACTTCTTATAATAAACCTAGTTAAAATATTTTCCCATTGTATATACCAACTTGAAGAATCCCATTTAAAAATAAATGAAAATATTAATCTTTCACGTATCCTGAAAGCTTGTTGTTGTTGTTTTTTTTTGTCTTTTTCTTTAAATCGCTGAGCATAATAATCGCAATGCAAGAACGCATTAACGAGGTAAATAAAGCATTCAGATATGATTACAGTATCTACAAAGTGACAGTGTCACTTGGGTCCGAGCTGCTAATGTTTCTTTTTTTTTAAACGTCAGTTAGCAGCTTGCTTTTGTTAACACAGTTTTGGTTGGCTACGGTGCAGTTGCCAGTTCTGAGGTTTGCCTCTCTAAAATTGTCTATGCTATTGTTTATGTCCTCATCGATTTCCATGTACTCGGACTTGCTGACAGTAGACGAACTACGGCGACTCGAATTTGTGTCAGATGCGATGTTCGGGTTGCTAACATGTAGCAATTGTGCCTGTTCTTCCCCTTCCGTCTCTCTGTGATAGAAGTAATTAAAGTTGGACACAATTACAGGCACGGGCAATGCAATCGTCAGCACTCCGGCAATGGCACACAGCGACCCCACGATTTTACCCCCAATTGTAACAGGGTACATGTCCCCATAACCCACGGTTGTCATAGACACCACAGCCCACCAGAAAGCGTCCGGGATGCTGGAGAAGTAGGAATCCTTCTCTTCTGCTTCTGCAAAATATACTGCACTGGAGAACAAGATGACACCGATGAAAAGGAAAAATATCAACAGTCCCAGTTCCCGCATACTGGCTTTGAGAGTCTGTCCCAAGATTTGAAGTCCCTTGGAGTGTCTGGAGAGTTTAAAGATTCTGAAAACTCTGACCAGACGGATCACCCTGAGAATTGCTAGAGACGTCGCCTGCTCTCCCTTCTGCTCTTTCCCGTCTTGCTCTTCTGCCATCTCAGTGCCAAGCGTGATAAAATACGGGATAATGGCCACTATATCAATGAAGTTCATTATGTTCTTAAAGAAGTCCGCCTTGCTGGGACAAGCAAAAAACCGAACTACCAATTCAAAAGAGAACCAGATAATGCAGAGAGTCTCCACAATGAAGAAAGGGTCAGTGAAGATATTTGGTTTGTAGTAGAAGGTACTGTTCCCTATAGTTTGTATCCTCCCTGCAGGGTCGTCTTTTAGTTCAGGTAGAGTCTCCAAACAAAATATAACAATTGATATCAGAATCACCATTACAGATACGATAGCAATCCCCCTCGCTGGTCCAGAACTCTCCGGGTGCTCAAATAAAAGCCAGATTTGGCGTTGAAATTCCTTCTCGGGCAAAGGGCGTTCTTCCTCCCTGATGAAACCCTCATCCTCGCGAAATTTTTCCATTGCCTCCTCCCCGAGCTCATAAAACTTTATCTCTTCAGAAAACATATCCAAAGGTACGTTAACCGGTCTTCTTAACCGGCCTCCCGATTGGTAATAGTACAGGATGGCGTCAAAACTAGGACGGTTTCTGTCAAAGAAATATTCATTTCTTAGGGGATCGAAGTACCGCATCCTTTTCTTGGGGTTACCCAGTAAGGTGTTGGGGAACTGGGCAAGTGTTTTTAGTTGAGTCTCGAAGCGCAGCCCGGCTATATTGATAACCACTCGCTCACAGCATTCGTGATCATCGTGGTCTGGTGGGTAGCTGTCTTGTGGGTGCCCGGGCAAGGCAGACGTCTCATCCATGTTATCTCCTGCCACAACTGTCATCCTGGCTGTCGAATCTTTTAATACTGCAGGAGATACGTCTTCTGTTCAGCCCGCGTCAGCAGGCTCCCAGTTTTTATTATATGTGTCGTCTTCGACTTGCTCTTTTGTTTGCGGGTTCCCCTTTTTAGGGGATAGCTTTGCTTCGCTTCAGTGCGGTTCCCCAGCTATCCGCGCTGACTCGACCATTGCTTCTCTGTGCTGCTGCTCCTGCTGCTGCTGCTGTTACTGTCACCCAGTAGGAGAAAAAATGGATCGAACAGAAGAGATCTTTGCCAGATCAGCAGTTTCGGCTGCCTGTTTTTTTTTTCTTTATGCTGTAGACCTAAGGTGGCCAAAGCGCAAACTGTACAGGATGCTGCGGAATACAAAAAATCGGAGAAAAAAAAACATTTATTTCTTCTTCTTTGAAAGACGTCCAAAATCCCATACAGTTCACTGGAACGAGCCGTGCATATTTTTACTGCATAGAGCTCTGCACAAGTTTCAGATCTACAGCCCACCCACACTCCTCAAACTAAATCCCGCATATGCTAACATCTCATTTTAGCCAAACAGCTGCATCATCGTTAGGGACTTCAGGGTAGTACAGAAGTAAGGTCTCTTTTTGTGCGTTTATTATTATTAATATTAATATTATTATTATTATTTTGTCATCATCCTTAATTCACCTTACCTCCGGTTAATCTTGTAAGACACTGTGCAGGAATGCGTCGACTCCGTGGACACCGAAAGCCAAAGCTAGAACTTTGCACTCCCTGCTTTGTTTTAATATGGCTATCGCTTTACACTGCGCTATCTAGGAGCTTTACTGAAATATTAATAGACTATATTGTCTTAGTACATGTCTACGGCATTTTAACGTCATTATTTCCTAAGTTTAATCAGAACAACCGAGCCACCTCACCGGTAAAAGTATCGAAGTGTTGCATCTTACATTAAGGCAATATAAAAGCCCGAGAGACAGACGAGAGAGCAGAGACAAAACCAAACACGAAATCCACTGGATCTATTGACCTCAGCCCAGCTGCACCATTTTAGCATAATGTCCTATACAGCGAGAGAAGTGATGATGGTGCGATTGGGAAGGCTGAATACATTAAGGGCAATAAGCGAACTCTTTTGCCATTTCTTGACGTTGCAGCATCAGCAGAAATTGGAGAGCTTTTCCTGTTTGGTGCAGATAAGATAACGAACGTCCCAAGGTACTGTACACCGATATCTCAGTACAGTTTCAGAAGGTGAACGAAAGCGGGACTTTAAAAGGGAACGGATTGAGAGCAAAAATAAAAAAAAATAAAAAGGCATTTATAAAGACAGTCTACCGCATTACTTAACATACAGTATACAGGACTATAAAGTACTGGGGAAAGAGAGTGGTGTGTGAGCGAGGGATAGAGTGCGTGAAATTGTGTGTTGGGAGGGGGGTGGGAGGGGGGTTAGACGCAATGCAGACCGGCTGTGCTAAACACACGTTGCCACTAGTGCATCCTACACCATAAAAAAAACAACATTGCATAGTACAAGACAGCGCTGCTGTACAAATATGGGTTTGTAGAATCACCAAGGCGGCTGTAGTGGTGTCTCACCGTGTACTGTATGTTACTCTCGACGATGACAAAGGTGGAGTGACATGGATTTAAATACATGTATGAAATAAAGATAGGTTTAGGGGGTTTACGACAACGTAAAATAAAACGAGATATACAGTTTATATAATACTACTACGGACGTTTTATCATGTTATGCAACCCTCAGTTCAACATACTGTACAATATGTCAAGACAGTAAATTCACTACTATTTAAATTATGTTCTCCCACAGACAAAGGTCAAGCTTATTATTTTAATTTACTGCAATTCTGTCATGCTTTATCAGTATTTAATTAAAAATAGCAGCGTATTTCAGAATAGTTTTACTTGCAGTTTTCTAAAGCAGCACTAGGGAACATCCAGCATTATTGACCATACAGTAGGTACTGTACAATTAACCTTGTTTTTATTTTTTCTTTCTACTGTATGTGTGCAGTAGGAATATAGCTAGGTAGGTCAATCCTTAAATATACATGTACTCATCATATACACAGACATGATGCTCTAGACGCCCGAATCCTTATAAAACTATTTTTAATGGAAAGGTCAGAAGTAGTGGGCCAGCTCATACTGTAGCACAGAGATGAAATACTTAATTTCCTTAAAATCGCTAATTTCCGCACCTAAAGGAAACAACTATAAATAGAGAAAAGTGTTATAATCAGCAGGTTTAGCATGCTCTCCTTAAATAGTACAGATAATACTTCCACTACAGACACTGGCATTGAAAGCAGCATTTGTGTTACCTTACACCATGCCACAGAAACTGGATATTTACAGTAATTTATGATGGTGTGTATTAGAAAGATACAAAATCTAGTGATTTTATGAATATCAGGACTTTTAAAGTCAGAAACTATTCACATTTTAGGGAGGTTGTTCTTCCATGCATGGATTGAAAAGTGAAAATATCTTGAAAAGTATTGTTTAGCCAATTAGAGGTATAGAAAATGAGGTTTGGTGGATGTTTTGGTTTAAGAATGGGATTAAAGGAATGCAGTTCAGTCTTCGGCCGTTCCACAGGTGGTGGTCTGGCACCCATTCAACATGTTTCTGCCACTGAAACCATGGCGTTTATAACCTTTTTGCGGACAAAAATGAGCAGTTGTCTGTTTCCAATTATATTGATTATTCGACTGACCAAGCTAATTTTACCATGTGCTTTATTGTTCAGTTGTGAAAAGGATGGCTCATGCTGTTGCTCAGGACATTGATGCATGGCCTTAATTCCAAATTATTCTCATAGTCTACGATGCAATTGACCATATTAGCAGGATGACCCTAAATAATCCAACATACAGTAACTGGAGAAACGTTTAGAACTAATAAAATGGGAAAAATCAGCACCATGGACAGCACACTTTTCAGCAGCCTATAAATTGACCTTTGCCAGTAAACACAACAAATAGCATCCATATACACTGTCAGGTATATTCATGCCATGTTGATATACTGTAATATGCATTTCACTTTTTGTGATATTCATCAGTTAATAGAGCACCATTGATTGTTACACATATGCAGCCCAGCAGTTATATATATATAATATATATGTTTAAGGGGCTTCTTTAGAAAAAAAAAAAACAGATGTTTTTCCCCATCTTCATGTGTGATGATTATAATACATATAATCATATAAATTAGTACAATACTCACAATACCTCATCTTACCCTATGTTATTAAACTGCAGATAGAAAATGATTTAATTTGATAATTTCCTATTTAATTATCTTTATTTTTAATTGTACTTATTTTAAGGTATTGGACAGTATTGGACAGAAATCTAAGATTGACATTCTCTTGCCCATCAGCATTATAAAATTAAAAGATCTTTAGTTCAGGGTATTACTGCTATATTTAAGTACTAAATGCTTTTTGCTGGTGACTAGTGCTTTCAGTTGTGCACTAGTCAACTATTATTACAGGTATATTGTAGTTTAGTACTGTTTTCTGTACACCTTTAATGGTCCTGTTACTAACTACTGATTTAATTTTGAATAAAGAGCTACTGAATCATAAGATCTGGTGTTACAATTGTGTTGCTCCATTGAGTAGTACTGCATGCTTCGTTGATTCAGATGCTATGTACAGTGCAATATTGCCACTCTATGCTACAGCAATAAAGTGGAGGAATCCCTTGCAGACAACAATGGATACAGTAGACAGGCGGTGCTAGAGAACAGATAATAAGAAATGAATCCAGCAAGAATCTCTAGTCCATTACCACTTTCCTTCAGAGTCATTAACAAAGTAAAGCACCTCAGGGAGAGTGGGGGGAGGCTTGCACTGGATCATGGGTCTTAAAGGCACAGTTAGTCCCATTAAAAAGCCAATACTCACTCCATTCAGTGGAACATTGTTATATACAGTATGTTTTATTTTTTATTTCAATCATAAGTCCTGTATTTTACATGCATCTACAATATAAATATAATGTATGTATTTTTCCATTGTAAAAGGAATAGTCTTAGAGGAATAGTCCTCACACCTGAAGAAGGCCCCACGGCCGAAACGTTGTGTTTTCTTTCTTTTTTTTTTCAGCATGGAATAAACCTATTACTTGTTCCTGAGGAACGGACTATAGCTAAGATATTTGAGCTCTATAGCACTCTTTATTCCAGTAACAGTTTCCAAATGCATTTAAAGTTCTTACCCTGTCCTCCAAAAATAATTTCAGTGCATTGATCTAAGTTTTCTCTTTTGCTTTTGTGATCTATGATCTTAGATAAACTCAGATTAAATCTTGAGAGACTTCAAAGAATATGGATTTTGTAGAAACACCTCTAGTCCATTACAGAATCTCTAGTCTCTGTACTGTTTCTCTGGAAGTGAAAGAGTACTAACTGAGATACAGAACAGCGTGGATCTAAAATGTGACATTTCTGCTCAGAGAGCACATTGTCTAGTGTTAAACCATGAGCAGATATAAGAATCAAATTCACAGTGTTCCTCTAGAGATACACACAATTTCATATTTATAAATTATTCAAATCTGAACTACAGAGTGTGCAGAACACATAAATGTGCATACAGGATATAAAACAAATCATCAACTAAGATATAATATTGCAGTGTATCTGTCAAAATCATCAGATTTTATCTCAGTTTCAGGAACTGCAAAATGAATTTATTGAAATACTAAGATGCTGTACTGCCTGTGTCAAATAAGGATATATACTGTATAGTAGTAACAATTGTTTGATATACTGTAGGACGATATGCTTGGAATGGCATTTTTACATGGTATTTTAGTATGAATGAATCGAAAGGGAATAGACACTGGTTGATTTCTGAACATTTGGCACTGTTGCAGATGTGCTGTGATCAATGATGTTGCTAGGAAGCTTCAAACAGAAGAATGTCTGTATGTATAGTAGCATGCAGAACATGTCTCTCCATGGCAACGGGGATACAGCTTTTCTACTGGGATGAAAACCTAGTGCTTTTGACTTCACATTCACAAATACACAAACTGAAATACAGCTCATAAGATATCAAACCTTTTCTTTTCTTCTGTTTTAGAAGAAAATCTGAAAAGAGACAGCAGATCTATCCACAGAATGCTTTTGCCATACGGAATTACACTGTACATATTGCAGCAACTGCACAGCTCTAGAGCATCACAAACAATTCGACCATATTGACCAACATAAAATAATAGTAGGAATAACCTTAAATAACAATGGGACCTAACAAAACATTAATAAATCCAACAAACACCAATCTTCAAAGCAGCTCAAATTAAACCCATTGCTGATGTGTATTATCTACCTGTAAAGTGTTGTGTTTCTCGAATTAGATTCATAACCCTAGGAATAAACAGTACTCCCAGCACTCCCGTTATTAATAAGATGTTTGCTTCATGTCTCATCATAAATGCAACTCTGCCAACAATGTAGGATTTCCTTTAAAAGAAAAAAAATAGTGGGGCATTTTGGTTTATCTAGAAGGAAGAGTGCCATCTGCTGGTCCAATAAAACAATGTACAAAACCAACTTAATTTGCATCCTGATTGCCAGCCAACAGACAGTAAGAAGCAGTAAAGACGCTACCTTAGTTTCTTAGTTCTGATAAGCACTTCGACTTTCCAAGGCCATATGGTAACTAATCTGAAATGAGTGTACAGTATCAAATCTAAAAGTGGCGTGTTTTTCAGAAAATGTCTTTTCACAGTGGACTTATACATCATGGACAAAACATCGATTAATTCTTAAATCTACAGGTGTGATAGGTAGAACGCTGTTTCTTTAAATAGATATTACAACTACAGCTTTCAATTCAAACACATAATGATGACATTCCTTTAATCCAATGCCATTATTATCAATTGATTAATGCAGTGAAAGCTATATACTGTATTTAGTCATCTGCTATTAGATACAAATAAGCCATTGGTACTGTATGTACTGTACATCACTATAATGAGATTTTTATGATGAATTATGTTTGTGAATTTGCAGTCTCTATACTGTCATGTGTGTGTGTTTAGTTTGGTATAAATTGGACAAACAGGCATTTCCCTTAATTAGATTAGTTTAACCTTCAATTAGCAGCCTGGATTCAAGAGACAAAATCAATAGATCAAGAGTACAGAGAGGCTATTGCCTGCTCTGGCATCCTGTGTGTGTGTTAAGTGATACAGGGAGGTGATTCAATTCAAAGTGGAACTTTATGTATAATTGACCTGAGATTGAGTTACCAAAGCATGTTAGACAGATAGAAAATTGAAATGTAAGACAATTTAAGAACCAAATTCTGCCAAAGTAGGTTGGAGGGTTTAAAATTCAACTCCCTTAGTACCCTTACCTTTCCAGTCTGCAGTAATCTATTATTACTGATCTTAACTTAAGGTTCCTTGTTGGATTTCACTACTTTTCTCAACTTGGAATGAAACATTCAGATCTTACTTTCATGGGAAAGACAGGAGGGGACAATCCCTTTGAGACATTGCAGTGTACTGTAAATCTACACAGGATATTTCCTCTGCACATGGGAACGCATAACTGAATTGCAATTGGGAGCAGCAGCAACAGCTGCAAATGCACCAGTGGAGACTGTCAAGTACCTTATGTAAACGTCTTTTCCCATGTAATTTTATTTCCAGTCATGGCCCATGCTCTTGTCATCTGAAATTCAACACTTACAGTAGTTTGGAGTTCATGGCAGCTTTCCGCCTGCATTTATTTTCTTAACACCTTTCATTGTTGTCCTTAGGATTCAAACATTCTCTTCCTATGTTATATCACACAACCCTTACCATTTAAGAACCTAGATCTCAGGAAAAAAATACTTTATATACAGTATCAGAAAATCACAGACACAAAAAATGACACAGGAATTGTAAGTGTCTTTGAAAAGCCTGATTGATGTAACACTACAGGACCTTTAACCTAGTCAAAATTGTCAGTGACTTAATGTTATGCAGCCGTTAAATGTCAGGAGGTCTCTGTGAAAATATTCAAGGGAAGCAAAGACAACCTGGAAATCACAGCTGTAGGCTTACCCATTTGTATTTTTTAATTTAAAGGTAAGTTTTTGAACAATCCTAATGTTTAACCTCTTAATCATTCTTGTTGCAGTATGCTCATTGGCATAACCAATTCCAAATAAATGGTCTACATATTTATTTGTACGATTGTAAAAGAACCTTAACATCTTAACATACAGTAAGTCTCAATGATCCCATCCTCAGATGCTTGATTATTTGCTTTTTTAAACATTTTAGGACCATCCTGTCAATGACGACATGAGCTTTCAAAATGTTTAGCCTAATTTATGAAAGTATTCAACAAACCATGCTGAAAAGCTTGTTACAACCTTTACTTGTTCTGCATCACTTACAAACATGTTGCTGCTTTGTATAATTATAATAA